TACTTCAAGGGCGATTTGTCCGAGTGCATTTACGCAGACGACAAACTCTTGATCAGCTCCAATGAAGAGCACTTGAACGAGTTTGTGGGTGCCGTTGGCTCCGCGGGCAAGCGCTACGGAACGGAGCTGCATTGGGACAAGTTTCAGGTACTCGCAGTTCAGTCGAAGGGCGAGATATATGCCCCTGACGGCACGGCCCTCAAGCATGTGCAACACCTACAATACCTTGGAACACATCTGTCGGCAGATGCAGGCATGGGCCACGAATTGGGTAGAAAAATCGGAGAGGCCAAGAGGAACTTCACAATGGTGCGAAAAGTTTGGCCACGAAAACTGCGAATTTACACTTCGATTGTGGAGTCTAAGTTATTGTACGGGCTAGCAGGGTCGTGCTTGACAAAATCACAACTGAGGCGGTTGAACGGCTTCCAAAACAAGTGTGTCCAGCAGATCATAAGCATCCGACCTTCATGGAGTTCACGCGTACGGAATGTAGACGTGCTGATCCGTGCAGACCACGCCCCAGCGAACCAACAACTTCTGCGCCGGCAGCTTCTGCTCTTTGGTCAAGTGCTACGCGCTGATCCTAGACATCTGCTGCGGACGTGCACGTTCGTTTCCGGCTCGTTGGCACCACAGACAGATGCTACGACGAGGAGGGCTGGTAGGCCATACAAGGAGTTTGCCAATGAGATGATGAAGCATTCTGCGCATGTTTGGTAGCATGGCAGTAGCCGAGGCTGCAGCGCAAACCTACCAATACGATCGTACTATACGCGCCCTGTTGTAATTCCCGTGCACGTTTTTCCTCTTTCCTCCTCCTCCTCCTCCTCCTCCTCCTCCTCCTCTTGGTCGTCCCGGTGTGACCCACTTGCGCGCTGTTTCCGTGAGTGGTGCCCTTAGCTCCCAGCGCACAAGTACAGCTTGTCACCGGGAACCGACAGCAGTGGCCCAACGTGTAGCCAAGGCCCAGGCCTTTCTTTTAGCCAGCGTTCATGCCCACGCACCGCTTGGTGTATGGTTCGTCAGTCAGTCAGTCAGTCAGTGACCATGGAAATCCGTGAAACTATCGCATGTTGCTAAAACACATGCACGCGGCGCTAAAGCGAGAACCGCATCCCGAAGAGGAAACGCCCGGAATCCGTGAATCTCTCTCAAATGATAAGGCGAGAACCACAAGTTGAAAACGACCCGCCCTCAATCCGTGAAACTCTTGCAAGTTTCTGAAACGAATGTGCGCGGCGCCAAGGCGAAAACCAGATTTTGAAAACAACCCGCCCTCAATCCGTGAAACTCTTCCAAATGTTTAAAGCAAATGCGCGCGGCGTTAAGGGGAGAGCCACAAGTTGAAAACGACCCACCCTCAATCCGAGAAGCTCTTGCAAATGTTTAAAACGAATGTGCGCGGCGCTAAGGCGAGAGCCACATTTTGCAAACGACCCGCCCTCAATCCGTGAAGCTCTTGCGAATGTTTAAAACCAAGGTGCGCGGCTTTCAAGCGAGAACCACATTTTGAAAACGACCCGCCCTCAATCCGTGAAGCTCTTGCAAGCGTTTCAAACGAATGTGCGCGGAGTTAAGGCGAGAACCACATTTTGAAAACGACCCGCCCTCAATCCGTGAAACCCGTGCAAGTTTCTGAAGCGAATGTGCGCGGCGCAAAAGCGAGAGCCACATTTTGAAAATGACCCACCCTCCATCTGTGAAGCTGTTGTAACTTTTGAAGCTTCAGAAACATGAATGGTGAGGAAGTCTCAGGCTAAACGCCCGGCCCGCTCTAAAAACTGGCCTCGGGGTACGACAGGGAGGATTTATCTGTAAGAAGGAATGACTGGAGCAGGAGGAGGAGGAGGAGGAGGAGGAGGAGGAGGAGGAGGAGGAGGAGGAGAGGAGGAGAGGGGGAGACGGAGAAGAGAGGAGCGGAGAGGAGAGGAGACGCGGCGCGCTGTCTCTTCAAAACGAGGGCCCAACACCACAGGATGGTTGGGAAAAACTACTTTCAACAATCGACAGGTACTCCATCCTCCTCTCGCCCCCTGCCCCTGCCCCCCGTCCTTTCTGCTTCCCCTGCCCCGCCCTCTCCTCTCCCCTCCGCCTGCACCCGACGAGCTGTCCTGTCGAGATCCGGATGGCCACACTTGGTGATCTGCGCTGGCTCATCCGGTCGATTTTCCGACGCGGGCCCGTTCCGATGTATCGCGATGTCGGTTGCCTGGCCAGACATTCGCCCAGAAACCAAGTCTGAGTTCATCCACTCCTCCCTCTCCCCCTCCTTTGCGCCCAGCCCGGTAGATGGTCCAGGACTCTGCCGCCCCCCCCCGCGAAATACGAATGGGATCGGGCACCCCCCCCCCGCTGGATGGGTACGCCCGTGAGCCTCGCGAAGGCCTCGCGAATGGGATCCCCCCGTGGTCGCAGCCGTGTGGGCGTGTTCTCCTCCTGCTTCGGCGAGGTGCTCGACAGGAGCACCGTCAGGTCGGGCGTGTCCCCCGCACAGGCGGATTTTGCACGAAACATCGAAAACAGTCCAGAACGAAACATTTATAACAGTTCAGAAAACGACCCCGACCATGCTCAGACATACCTTTAAAATTGTCCCCTGACTATTGTTTAACTATTTTTGAAGATTCCTCCTGCCGGCATATCCGCTCCCAGGAGGCGGCACGAGAGGGGGGGCGCCGCCGCCTCTCCCGCCAGGCACGGTGTGTCCCTCCCCAGGGCTGGACCTACACGTTGTTTCTCGTGCTGGTTTTGTTTTTTTTGGTGAGCGTTTTTTCTCCAAATAAGCTTGCCATGTGAATCCTAGCTGCTCCTAGCTCTTCTTAAGAAATTGGTCTTTAGCCACCCCCCTCCCTTTTCCAATGGCACGCCCCCCCCCCTTTTTCCAATGGCACCCCCTTACTTGCTCGTGTTGATTTCGTGATTTCGTTTCGGAGCGTTTTTGTTATTGGGTGGAAGGAGGGGGGAGGGGGGAGGGTCTGGCTCCAGACCTCGGTGCGGCTGTTTGCAAGAGTGCGGCCTCTGGGGGAGACCCCACCCGCTCGAAACAGGCGCCAGAAAACAGCGAAGATCTACTCCATGGGTGAGGGGGTGGGGGGCCCGCGCCGATCAACAATGCATAAAATTATGTCACTATTTTGTTTTGATTTCGTTTTGTGTTTGGTGTTGCTCCTCCTGCTTTCCTGTAGCTCCCTCCCACAACGAAAACACGACACGGCCGACGTCCAGCAAAACAGCGTTCAGGTCCAGCCCTGTCCCTCGCGCATCCCGATTTAGAAGTGTGTGTGTGTGTGTGTTCTTCTCGCACGGCTGTTCCTTCGGAACGCTCTTGGGAGCGGCGGGTCTTCGGCCGTAGTCGGCCTCCGGGGGCCCTCGCCTGGCCTCGGGACAGTCTATCTAACGAGGACGCAGGGCGAAAAAGTGGCCCCAGGGGAGTGGTCCAGACCTCCAGGGCCCACGCATCGAACAAATTGGAGCGGCCAGACCTCTGGGTTTTTTGGTTTGCTCACAGATGTGATCCCGCTGCAGCGTTGGCCTCATTTCAGGATCGGCGATCTGGTCCTGTCGTTCAGAACGGCGCTCTCGCCACAGCGCGGGCCACATTTCTGGTCAGTGTCCTTCCTCGTCGTTGCCGCCGCCCGCCTCCTTTCCCCTTCTCCACCTTCCCCTGGTCCTCCTGATCCTCCCGTTCCCCTTCCTTGGTCCGTGTGGTCCTCCTTTCCCCTTCTGCTCCTGCGTTCTCTGCTGCCCTCCTCCAACTTCCTCGTCCTCCTTCTCCTCCTGCTCATCCGCCACCTCTTCTTCTCCAGTATGCATAGCTCACCGGTCTGATTGCGCATCACACGATGAGGGTAGCTTGAGGGTTCCAGCTCCGCTGTGACACCCATCGGCGGAAAGAGAACACAAGGCGCAATTGGTGGGAGGAGTTTGATGTCAGATGTGGAGGCAGCGCACCTAGCCTGTCCCCACCCTCCAAGATGAAGCCAGGGCGAGGACAAATTCAGGTGAGGAAAAATCGAGAATCTCTACATTCGACGGCTCTGGAGAATGCCTCGGGCGCCCCGGCCTTCCCAGAGCGTTCCGCAACGCTGTGAGAACGTTCTGGAACGCTATGGAATGGATTTATCCTCGTCCTAGCCCCGCTTGACCCTCGTACGCCCACCATTACTCCCGTCATTCGTCGTCCGCCCCCGTCACATCCATACTTCCGCGCCGCTGCTGCAGGTCCATCGCATCCTGAGGCGCCAGGCCGCGAGGCACCGAGCTTGCCATCGCATGGACATCCATTCCCCGTGCATCTGTCGGTTTCGTGCGTTTATGTCAAGATGCTCCGCGAGGGTCATCACCGAGAAAAACTGCACACGTCCGAGAGATGCCAAGCGAGTGGAATTACCGCAGGTCCCCTCGAGTACCGCAGAGGACTGGAGTGGCGTGTCCGCGAGTGGCTTGCTCAAGAAGCCCAAGCCGCTGGAAGACCGCATGACTTGCCCTACTCGTCGCAGTCTCGGCTGTCTGGTCTTTGGGGCGCCCGAGGCAATCTGATCTGCCTCTAAAGCCCGCCCAAGAGGGCTCCGAACAGAGGGAATTTGAACTGCCATGCGGTTTGGAGCCTTCAGCCCCGAAATGTTCCCCGAGACACCTAAGAGGCCTGCGGAAGCCCCTCCAAGGCTCCCAGGAGGCCCCCACGAGACCCTCAAGATGCCCTCCAAATTCCTTCTCATCTGATGAAAAAGCAGTACGCTCTCAAACACATAGGCTCGAGGGCTAGTTCAAAGCTCAGGATCATCCCCCTCCTCTCACTTAGAGGCGTCCTGGATGGGGTCGAAGTAGACGGGGTCGGAAGATCGCGCCGCTTCGCCCATGCATCAGCGACGTCGTCATGCAGCAAAACGGGATCTACATCGAGCCGCATCCACGATGCATCGGTGATGCGGCGCGATCCTCCGACCTACTAGGACTGGGAGCCCCAGGACACTGGAGCTTCGACCCCCTGGACGATCCGAGGTCTCCCCCAGGATCTTGTCAAGCTCCGCGTCCAGCTCCAGGTCGGGCCTGTCCTCGCCGGCCTCGTCAACGGGCCGGCCCGCGCCCCTCCGCGCGACGTGCCCGAGACGGGGACGCTGGGGCGCGCGAGCCGTGAGCCCAGGTGCAGTCGGGCTGCTCGAACAAGGAACGCTAAAGAAGGAGCGAAGCCCCCTCTTGGCCCCCAAAGGCGCCTGCGTGGACCAGGGGCGCCTGCGTGAACCGCCAGGAAAGGGTTCAGGGAACGCCGCGCCACTCTCGAACCCACACTGCTCCTTCCTTCGGCGTCTTAGATGCACCCAGGCTTGACCTCCGCGGTGCTGGGCTCACGCGTACCTGTACCAAGGCCGCGCTAATGGCAATGTTGGTTAACGGCGATGTTGGGACTCCGACTTTTGTGGCGCCGAGCTCGCGCAGAACAAATTGTAGGACATCGCGAACCACACTTTCCTACATTTCAAGTGTGCGAATGTACCGAGCGAAAACGACGCAGCGAATCGTAGGAAAGCACGAACCACCATGTCCTACAATTGGTTTGGCCACGAACCAGACCCACCCTACAATCCCGACACCTACATCGCCGTTACCTGCATCGCCGTCAGCGCTTCTACGACTATAGGCCACCGAATCTCGCGCACCGCGCCCCGAGAGGCGCGCCGCGAGGCCTTGTCTTCGCGCATGCGTGCCGCCGCCCCGGAGATCGGTGCCTCTTGGAGCCCTGGCCGCGGCGAGCGGAGGGCGATCGTCTTCGCGCCCCTGGGGGGGGGGCCTGGCGCACAGTCGACCCGTACGATGGAGGTTTTAGATTACACCAGAGAAAAGCCCCAATCAGTGAATGGTTTGATGACGAGATCGATTGATCATGAGATCGATAGTGAATCGTGGGATCGACAAAAAGATCGACAAGGAGCTCGACGGGGAACCTGGGAACCCGGAACCCACCGAAATCAGCCCAGAATCAAAAACCAGGAACCCGGGAACCCGGAACCGGGAACCCGGGAACCCAGCCGGCCACCAAAATCGGCGGGAGACTTACGCCAAATCTTGCAATTTCCGCTAGGGCACCTTCAGTGCAAGCACTGATTGGGGAAGAAGGATGCCTTCCACAAGGAACCCGAGCGAACGAACTGGCGCCTCTGTGGACAGGTCTCCAAGGGCGAGCAGATGGCACACAGGCCACGCTAGCAACGACGCGTCCGCTCTGACCACTGCCCCCTGTCTCGAACAATCAACGAGGGGGCGGCCGCACAGGCATCTCACGCTCTCCGACCACAAGTGCCATCGCACGGACACGCGGTGGCCCGCAGAGAGCGGGATGCCCGCAGGCTCCCTAACGACCTGCCCAAACTCCACGAGGAACTCGATGAGGAACCCGGGGTCTCGCGACCGATGGGCGGCCAAACGTGGACCACCCACCTCGCCTTGAAACAAGAGGGAGTGCGCCAGGGTCTGGGCCCCCAGGAAGACGTTCCTTATCCGATGCCGCCGCCGTACCAGAAAGACGCACGATGAGGATGCAAGGGCCTTGGGAGGTCATGTCGAAGCTTTCCGAGCGGGGCGCGGCCAACGAAAGTGGCCAAAGATGGACCGAGGAGGCAAGGATGCAAGGATACCCTCGGGAAGGTTGCCCGTCCTTAACCCGGGAAAGCAAACAGTAACCCCCCCGGCGATATCGTTAGCACAGAAAATAAAATATATGATTATCTTGGGCAGCGCCCTCCGGCGATATCGTTAGCACATTAAAAAAATATAATAAAATAATTTGCCCCCCCGGGCCCGAAGCTGGCGGCAACGTGAGGCGACAGCCTGAAGAACCAATGCGCACGAACGCTTGCCAATGGGTTCCCGCCTTGCTAGAACACTGGGAAACTGACGCGCATCGGAAATCAAAGGTAAATCAAAAATGACAAACAATGAAATCACCGCAAGCAACTGTACTTGAAAGGACCCCCCCAAAGGAATCCCAGAGGAATCTCAGAAGGAAGCCCACGCAGAATCTCAAAGGAACCCTATTGAAAATTCAAAGTAATCTCAAAGGAACCCCACAGAAATCGCAAAGGGATCTCAGCGGCAGCTCAAACGCACCACGAAGGAATCACAGGAATCTGGAAAACGCGGGCTCGCGTGGACATAAGCAGTCCCTATTGCGACCGCACTAGGGAATTTGTTTTTTTCAGGGGGTCCTATGGGAGAGTCCACGGAGAGACATCGCAGAAGGATTCCGCGACCCCCCCCGCGATATGTTAGCACATTTATTGAAAATAAAATAATCCACAGGTACCGGAAGTCGATGTGATACTCCCTTCAGGGATTGTCGAAGGAATGTCAGAGGAACTTGAAAGGACCCCCAAAGGAATCCCATAAGAATATCACAAGGAATCCCACGCATAATATCAAAGGAACCAATGGAAGTTCAATGCAATCTCAAAGGAGCCCAACAGAAATCGCAAAGGCATCTCAGCGGCAGCTCAAACGAACCACGAAGGAATCTAAAAAATTTGGGAAACGCGGGCTCGCGTGGACATAAGCAGTCCCTATTGCGACCGCACTAGGGAAATTGATTATTTCAGGGGATCCTATGGGAGAGTCCACGGAGAGATATCGCAGAAGGATTCCGCGACCCCCCCGCGATATGTTAGCACATTTATTGACAATAAAATAATTCACCGGCCCCGGATGTCGATGTGATGCTCCCTTAAGCAATGGGGCATCAAAGGGATATGACCGGAACCTCAAGGGACCCCCAGAATACCATCAAAGGAACACCAGAGGAGTCTCAAAGGAGTCCCAAAAGAATCACAATGGAAACGGCAAGGAATCTCAAAAGAAGCCAATCGGAGTATCAAAGGAATCTCTGAGGAATCTCACCGAAACGCACAGAATCACAGGAAGCGACTCTGGGCAGGTGTGCCTTGTCGCTGGGCTCTGGACTACAAGGGGACCGGGCATTCAGAGGCTTGTGGATGCCTTTCTGGATGCCTCCTGGGAACCTCCGGGGACCTCCCCTCCGCGGACCTCTGGTGACCTGCGGGGGATATCGCTTCCGCCCTGGCCCCGGTGCCGGAAGCGTTATAATTTCCTCTGACGAGGGGGGGGGGGGAGGGGGGTTTACTGATTGCTTCCCAGGGTTACTCTGCGGGTTGACTGTAGCATCAGCACACACGGGCAGAATTGAACATTCGGGGCGTCAAGATGAACGTCGGGGCGTCCCAACGCCTGGGCATCCTGGCATCAACGCTTGGCTCTCGGGCGTCACGCCAGAAATTTCAGCATCGACGCGAGGACTTCAACCTACCTGGCTCGACTTCGGACCCCGGCCCGGGTTGGTTAGCTACCCTTCTGGTATGCAACCTCCCTGGCCCCAAGGCGCTCCCAAGCGCTCCGAGGCTTTCCCCGAGCTCCCAAGCACCGAGCGCTTGCTCCCGAGCGCTGCCAGGCGTTCCCCGAGCGTTCAAGCACCGAGCGCTCATATGCGCTGCCGAACGCTCCCGAGCGATCCCCGACACGCCCAAGCGTTGCGAGAGCTGCCAAGCGTTCCTGGGAGCTCCTTCATGTAACATCTTCGGAAGACCTCGCCTGTCCCGTCGCGCCCTTACCCGCGTAGAACACATGTCGAATACATGTCGGGCTTTTCCAATCCTCGTCGAATCCAAATTAAATCCGCGTCGAATCCACGCCAAACCCGCGTCGAGCGCCCATCGAGCCAGCGTCGGGCACTAGAAACGAAACAAAGTTCGGGGACAGACGAGGTCCCCCGAAGATGCGACGTAAGTAAACTCCTGGACACTTCCCAAGCGTTCCCGACCGCTCCCGATGGAATTATCGTTCTGCGCGCGCAGCCCCAGACCGTCAGACGACACGCCTCTGAATCCATCCCTGCTTTCCTGCCCTTTCCAACGACCTCGCCAAGAAATAAGCAGCCGTCTGACTTGTCAGCCAACCCGTCAACCTGCTAGCCAGCTCTTGAGCTACGGTCGGGAACTTTGGGATAGCGTGGTGCCACGGCGGCTACGGCGACACGCTGTGCCTTGCGAGTGGATAGCGTATCGCTCCGCTCCGCGGTGAGGCAGTTCGGGAACGGCTCGGGACAATGACGCCTGGGGACCCGGAAGTGGATACCGAAGCGTAATGGGCCAGAACTGGCCTTAAGTCGGGCGTGTCCCCCTACAGGGTGATTTTGGAAGAAAAATCAGAAAACAATCAAACCAATACACCTCAAATCCCCAAAAGTACCAAAAAACATCGTCCCCAAACCATGTTTGGATTATGTTTGAGAGTTCCTCCTGTAGAGGGACAGGCCCGACTCAAAGCCGGCAGAGCGAAGCGCTACCCCAAAGATCCTGGCTGTAAGCAGCCTGCCAGACGTCCATCCATCGAGGCAGCCAGCGAGCTAGCCGAGACGTCAGCCCGTCCTTCCTTCAACACAACCTGATCAACCCAACCACCAAAGCGTCATGCTATCCCAAAGCTCCTGACTGTAAGCAGCCTGCCAGCCGCCCGTCCATCTAGGCAGCCAGCAGGCCAGCCGAGACGTCAGCCAGTCCTTCCTTCAACAAGTCAACCAACCTAACCTTAGGTCGGGCATGTCCTCCTACAGGGGGATTTGGGACGAAAAACAACCAAGAGTCGAAACGTGCGCAAGAACAGTCAAGAAATACTCCACAAATCGTCCCCCGACTATTTTCTTAGAATTCTTGAATATTCCCACTGTAGAGGGACATGCCCGACTTAAACCTAGTCGACCCAACCACGCAGGCAACCGTGCCGGCGGCAGCGGCTAAGCGTTTCCAGCATAACTTGAACAGGTCCCTATATTTAGGTCGGGCATGTCCCCTTACAGGCGGTCGTTGAGCGAGAAATTAACAATAGTCAAACAATACTCCAAACAAAACTCAAAGATGGTTGACAAATCGTCCCCTAACGACGTTTTGACTGTTTCTGGATATTCTCCCTGTAGAGGGACAGGCCCGACTTACCCTATACATAACAGCTTTGGCCCGGTCGCGAGCACGGGCGCTCGAAGAGGGCCCAAGGAAAGCCCGAT